CAGCCAGCCCAGGCAGCGCTCCAGCATAGCCAGTGCCCAGGGAGAATCACCCAGCCCGGCCTGTTCTCTCTGACAGAGCTCCTGAGCTGGGAAAATGGGGCTGGCAGGTCCAGGCTGGGCTTGCTTGGGCTTTGCTGGGCTGGGCAAGGGCTGGGAGCTGGGAACATTGGGGCTACTCCTCCAGCTCCTGCTCTCACCGTGTTCTCCTCCTTTCCTTTCCCACTCCACTGGCAACCCCCACGGAAAATGGGGTTTACAGACACCCCTGTAACACCCAGTGGGTTTGTCCCTGTCGTCAGGAATCTGCCCTGTGCCAACCCCTGGGGTCGTCTGCACCAGTTCTGGTGGGGAATTGCCTGCGCTTGGCTTGGCTTGGCAAGGAAACACGTCCACAGCTCCTCTTCTCCTGGAGGACAGAGAGCTGCTCCAGGGGGACATATCACCTGACCCTTGTCCTTGGATGAAGCAGAAACATCCCCTTTGTCTTCCCCTTCTCGGGGCGTGGGGCGAAAATCGCCCTTGTCAGGGAGCAGCTGCAGGCTCTGCTCCTCCGGTGATCCAACAGCGGCCCCTGCTGACCGGGATTGGAATTGAGCCAAAAAGCCAGGAATGCCACACACACTCCTTTTTTGAGGCGGAGTTTTGGTACAGGATTATTTGGTCGTTTTTGTGTCTTTTCGTTGTTCTACCAATACACATACAACCTTTAATAAAGGGCTGTTATTTTTGCTTTCTCCCTACTTTTCACTTGGAGCCTCTTAAGTTTGGATTTACAATTGCTTAGAGGGAGGAGTTTGGTCTTCCTCATAACTTCTCCTCCTTAGGAAAACACTTGTGTTTCATTAAACTGAGAGAGATACAAATTCATGCTTTGTTTACAACCCAGAGAGATCTTGCAGGCTCTTTCCATTTGCCTCTGCCCCTCTCCAAGAACTTGTGTGGACACCTTCCCTGCCTGCACCAGGTGATTTCACAAAACTGGGAGGGAGGGTATTTCATGGAGAAGGACTTGGGGGTGTTTTGAGGCCTCTCGAAGCAAATGTTTCCTTCTGGAGAGGTAAAACCAGGACAGGGGGAGGAAGAGCAGAAACGCAGCTCCTCCAGCAATGGCAGTGCCTCCAGGAATTCCCAGCACATGCCCACAAATCCTCCCGGAGGGGTGAGGCAGACATGAAGGTTCGACGTGAATACCCTGTTTG